TATATATACATAAAGAAAGACAGGAGCATGAGAGAGCCATACACACATATATACAATTACATTGTATGTTCAACAGAAAATACATATGATGCAAAGTAATAAATGCTTCAAATAAACAATCAAGTACATCAATTATGAATTACTATTTCCACTAATTATCAGTTTTATTTTCACATTTATCCTGTGATTGACCAATAAGAAGCTCTGCTACTCACAGCGATGAAGCTGGACAGGAAGTGTGTAAGTATATTATCTCCCATGAGGCCTGTGCCCAAAACCAGCTGCTTGGCCTGGTCATAACACGCCAGCTGAAACACACACACGCGCACGCACACAAGGAGCATACAAACTACATTTAGAACTGCAAACATATGTTCACAAGTTTACTAAAATATGTAAATGAGGATGCATACCATTAAATATGAGCTCATTTGCATACATTACTATTCTAGCACAATCATCTAAACACTGGTTGAAATTAGGTAACACAAATGGTTTCATATTTGACATCTTAATTTTTTTCTGTCTCTTTTTCGTCACAGTAATTCCACAGAAAACCAATTAATTTAAATTTCACAACTTCTGTATGATAAAATCCTGTATATAATTAGGTACAATACATCTGAACATGTCAAGTGTGTGTAAGAGTGGCTGAAGTGGTGTCGAACGAGTTTGGACGTCTTTAATTTAGAGTGAGATAAACACTATGAGAAGCCCGCTCCCCACAAAGCCCAGAATATCAAAACAGCCAACATTATAAACAATGCCAATGTGGTCCTTCCCATAATGCACTGCACTCTCACCTGTCCGACAGTGACCAGAGCTCCTCTGCTGGACGCCATTGTGGCTCCAGAAAACAGCCGCCTGGTTCCCTCTAAGAGAAACACACCAAGATCATCAGAGAGAAACACAAACAACTGTATGTGTGTGTGTGTGTGTGTTTGTCTGTATGTAGGCATGTATGCTTGTGTAACTATGTATGTGTAACCCCGCTGGTCCTACACCACCCAACCTGCTCTGAGCTGGGATCGAACCGGAGATCGTTTGTATACATGCATGTACGTGTGTGTGTGCATGGATCTATGTTTGTATGCAAGTCTATACATGTGTGTGTTTGTTGCGTGTATGCATGTTAGTGTTTGTGTAAAAGTGTGTTTGTGTGTGTGCGTATGTGTGTGTGTTTATGTATGTATGCAAGTGTGTGTGTATACGTGTTTATGTATGCATGTATGTGTTTTTACCTTCCCTCCAGACCCTGAAGAGGCCGTCCAGCGCATGTTTATAGCTGCAAGAGAAGCGCACACACATGATTAGGATCAAGTGTGTTACGAACAGCATGTGCTTGTGTGTGTGTGTGAGGTGCTTTTTTAGATGAAAAGACCCCTCACTTTCTCCTCTGCTCTAGAGGAAGCTTCACATCATTCTGCATCCTGTGGAAACACAAACACAAAACACACAAATTAAACCAGATAACTCAACACACACAAGCAGTAAAACAACACACACATACACAAAATACACACCGAACATTGACCATATCTGCAGGAGTCCCAATGAAACCGCCTGTGAAACCTGCATGTACACACACACAAAATACACGAGGAAACACAATTTCAAGATTCTTCATATATATATATACACACACACACACACACACACACACACACACACACACACACACACACACACACATTTATATATATGGCTAGTAGTAATTTCTAACATGACTAGCCACTCGCCATTTTCCCTAGTCACACTTATTGTTGGGAAAATATATATTTACACACATAAATATGACGTTGACATGCTAAAATGACTTGATTTAGAGTTTGCGTTATCTCTACATGCCTCCTCATTCATTTCACTTTATTATTCGTGTCGTGTCAATACTGAGTCAGTCATAACGCCACCTGCTGGCAACAGGAAACTACTTATAACTCAGCCAAACAATGTCCTATCTGCCTGAAAATCCACAAGGTTGATAAGATTCCTCTACTGAAGGCATCTACATGCCAATCTTGAGTCACAGGTATAGCGCCACCTGCTGACAGGAGGAAGTTTGGCATAAATCTATGATTTTCTCAGGTTATTTATATATATATCCGGTTAAATAAACGTTGTTCGCTCTTCTCTGTCATCCTGAGGCCATCGGGCGGCGGTGAGCCCGGGTGCGAGGTCCCTATCATCGCTGCTTGCAGCTTTAATTTAGAATTATAATTGTACAATAATTTATTTATTTATAATTACTTAGATATATTTAATTAGTTTTATTTTCTAAATATTTGCCAAATGATGTCTAACAGAGCAAGGAAATTTTCACAGCATGTCTGATAATATTTTTTCTTCTGGTGAAAATCTAATTGGTTTTATTTCGGCAAGAACAAAAGCAGTTTTTAATTTATTTTAAAGTTATTTTATTTAAATAAATCTGCTCTCCGTTAAACAGAAATTGGGGGAAAAATAAACTTTGAATTTATTTTATTTAACAGGGACACTGCTTATTATTCAACAGTAAAACTGTAAATAAGCCAGAGTTAGCCACAAGGGCTAATTTTCATCTGTTGCCCCCTGCCTGATTTTAAAAGCCAACCTAAAATAAAAAAACACATCATCACACATACCAAAACAGTAAAGTTACAAATGACAACAGGATATAAAACATGTATTAGGAACTTCTTAAAAAGTTAGACAAAAGTATTACACATGATTACAAACTTGATTTGCTTTTTGTATTTAAAAGTTGAATAATTTGAAACAGGGGCGATGCAGTGGCGCAGTAGGTAGCGCTGTCGCCTCACAGCAAGAAGGTCGCTGGTTAGAACCTCAGGTCAGTTGGCGTTTCTGTGTGGAGTTTGCATGTTCTCCCTGCCTTCGTGTGGGTTTCCTCCGGGTGCTCTGGTTTCCCTCACAGTCCAAATACATGTGGTACAGGTGAATTGGGTGGGCTAAATTGTCCGTAGTGTATGAGTGTGTGTGTGTGAGTCTATGGATGTTTCCCAGAGATGGGTTGCGGCTGAAAGGGCATCCGCTGTGTAAAAACTTGCTGGATAAGTTGGCGGTTCATTCCACTGTGGCGACCCCGGGTTAATAAAGGGACTAAGCTGACAAGAAAATGAATGAATGAATGAATGAATGAATGAATAATTTGAAACACCCCTTAAATCAATCGGAAGTGTGCTCCAAAAATGACTGTCTCTAACTGAGGGTATATATCTAAACAGGGGGTATATGTATGTTTTATATATATATATATATATTTATATACTTTATTTCAGGCAACACCCCTGATCTCTGGTGGTTATGAGTGTGTTTTACCTCCGAATGCTCCCAGCAGCACCTTCTGATAGAAAGGCATGGGGCCCTGACTGCCGCTGCCCAGCATATCTCTGACCGTCTCGTAGATCGCAAACCGCGTCAGAGAATACGACATCTGAACACACACACACACACACACACACACGTGCACACACACGTGCGCACATATATTCTCAACATCACTTTTTTTTCTCAAAATGTACCATGTTATGATTTCTCAATATAATGAATTTAATGATATAGTAGACGGTTTAATTAATTTTGCCCTAATCCACTTCCATAATTCCCGCACAGAAACTGATAGTCACTGAAATAAATGCCATTCACATTGTTTTGCACAGTCATGCTGAACACTCGACATCTAATCAGTTCAGCAGATCAGTTCTGTTTATGTTTAGCAGCAGTGATCTGATCTGCAGGATTACTTCACTCTTTATCTCCAAAACTCATGTTAATACGAGCTTGAAGGATGAAGTATGTGTGAGCAGTTCATGCAGGAGTGTGCGTGTGTGTGTGTGTGTGTGATCTGACCTGTCTGCATAGTGAAGCGCTGAGTCCGCTGTAAAGTGCCAGAAAGCCGTCGTTCTTCACCACGTGTATCGCCATCCCCATCATCCTCATCTTCACCTCCTGCTGCGTCTGCAGGTGCACCTGAACAACAACAGCACAGTTACTACACACACAATCACACACACACACACTCATACAGACCAACACAAAAAGTATCACACACACACACACACACGCACACACGCACACACGCACGCACACGTTTGGGTTTTGTGAATTGTGGGGACATTCCATAGGTTTTCTTTTAACAGGTTTAACTGTTTTTTTTACTGACCTACACCAACACTACAGCTTCAGCCATCAATACAGATCATATAAAACACTTCAAATATTTCTTTACAAACAATAAATGTGTGTTTTACTGATGTTTAACAGCAGATTTTGTCAACGGTGTGAAATGAGGTGTAGAGTATTGAGTAACAGCTTATCTACTCAAGCATTAAATACATGATGAAACATGAAACGAACCCAAACACACACGCACGCACGCACACACACACACACAACCTGAACTAAAACTCTCTTTTTAATACACACAACAAACAAACACACACACACACACACACACACACACACACACACACACAACCTGATCTAAATCTCTCTCTTTCTCACACACGTCTGAATAGAGGCCAACGGTTACTCTCACTAGTATGCCAACAATTCAGGTCAACAATAAGTCGACGTGTCGCTCAGTTCAAGGCAGGAACAGACTGTAATAATGCTTTAATGCTCCTGTACACTCCTGCGACACACCAGCAGGAAACTACTGGAGGAAATACTGCAGTCTTATTCATTCATATTCCTTCAGCTTAGTCTCTTATTCTTTAGAGGTCGCCACAGTGGAATGAACCGCCAACTAATCTATAATGGGTTTTACACAGCGGATAACCTTCCAGCTGCAACCCAGTACTGGAAAACACCCATACACACACACGCACACACACGTGCGCGCGCACACACACACGCGCGCACACACGCGCGCGCACACGCACACACACACACACACACACACACACACACACACACACACACACACACACACACACACAACAGCCAATTTAGTTCATCAATTTCCGTTGCTAACCATATCAGGACCTGAACACCACGTTATAATAACAGGCAGGTGTGTTTGATATGGGCTGCAGCTGAAATCTGCAGAAAGATGGCTCTCCAGGAACAGGGTTGGCCACCCCTGGACTAAGCTGAAGGAGAATGAATGAATGATGAATGAATGAATGAATGAATTAATTAATTAATTGAGGAACCATGACCTTTGATTTCCATTAAGGCATTCAAGTGGGTATAAAAACAAATCATTTATTACATACAAAGATTATTGTTGACTTACAATATTTCAACATGTCCTGTTAGAATTAGTTGACCTGCAATAATTAATGAACAATAACTCACTCATTCATATTTGTGAATGCACTTTTTAGTAAGTTCTTAGTAGTTGTGGGACGTTTATTTGTATATAAAATAATTTGTACGTCTATTTATTTCACTACAGAATCCAATATTTGATTAACAAACTATTCTATTTTTCTACTCAACACAAAAGAAGATATTTTGAAGAATGTCGGGAATTGGTGACCATTGATTTTTAATAGCTGGAATAAATTCTCTGGAAGTCAATGGTTACCGGTGGCCAACATTCTTCAAAATAACTTCTTTTGTGTTCAGCAGAATAGAAATAGGTTTGGAACAAGAGGAGTAAATGATGACAGGACCTTCATTTTTGGGTGAACAGTGTCTTTAAATAGGCTCTTCAGAAGTGTCCCGACTATACAGTGAACTGTATTTGCTCGGAGTAATTGTATCAGAGGTCATTGGCTCAGAGTGGACTCACGAGGGTCTCGCGCTCTCACATTAAACAAACAGACATTTTACTGTGCTGACCTTTCACCTCTTCACAACACACACACACGCACACACACACACACACACACACACACACACACACACGCACACACAAGACAAATCGACAAGTACATGCACACAAACATAAAAAAACTCATCAAATTGGCCTTTAGTCAATTTGAGTGAGTGTGTGTGAGTGTGTGTGTACTCTGCTTATCTGTGGTCTTGTTTTGGTTTTCTTGAGACTCATCTGAGATAATAGTGTGTGTACTCTCAATATATTCATTCATTCACTCGCTCCCTCATTCGTCATTTAGTAATTCAGTAATTCATTTCCACATTCGGCCATTTCTTTAGTCAGTCATTTACTTATTTGGTCATTCGTTTATTTATTCATTCATTCACTCACTCACTCACTCACTCACTCACTCACTCACTCACTCACTCAATCATTAATTTACTCAATTATTCATTCTTTCATTCATTCACTCACTCACTCAATAATTTACTCAATTATTCATTTATTCATTCCATGATTCACACATTTATTTATTCATTCATTCACTCAGTTGGTCAATCATTAATTACTTAATTTGGTCATTCATTCACTGATATGATCATTCATTCACTCATTCGGTTATTCGTTATTTCATTCACTCAATGGTCATTACTTGGTATATTCACTCATTCATTAAATTTCATTCTTTCATTCGTTTACCAATTCGTTCATTCATTTATTTATTTGTCTATTCATTCAATCACTCACTCACTCACTCACTCACTCAATCATTCATTAATTTACTCAATTATTCATTCTTTCATTCATTCATTCACTCACTCACTCATTTATTTACTTGATTATTCATTCATTCACTCAATCAGTTAATCATTCATTAATTTACTCAATTATTCATTCATTCCCTCATTCACAAATTTATTCATTCATTCAGTCATTTATTCATTCATTCACTCAGTTGGTCAATCATTAATTACTTAATTAGGTCATTCATTCACTGATATGATCATTCATACACTCATTCGGTCATTTATTATTTCATTCACTCAATGGTCATTTCTTGGTTCATTTACTCATTCGTTCATTCATTAATTTTTCAGTCATTCATTTGTTTACTAATTCGTTCATTCATCTACTTGCTCAATAATTCAACATTTAGTCACTTGGGCATTCACTCATTTATTTCCTCATTCGGTCATTTCTTCAGTCAGTCATTTATTTATTTGGTCGGTCATTCATTGATTCATTTATTCATTGATTGATTCATTCATTGATTCATTCACACACACATTCATTTATTCATTCATTCAATTTATTTAATTATTCACTCATTCCCTCATTCAGTCATTCATTCATTCCCTCATTCACAAATTCATTCATTCATTCATTCCCTTATTCAGTCATTTATTCATTCATTCCCTCTGTTGGTCAATCATTAATTACTTAATTCGATCATTCATTTACTGATACAATCATTCATTCACTCACTCATTCGTTCATTCATTAATTTTTTATTCATTCATTCATTCACTAATTTGTTCATTCATTTATTTGTCCATTGATTTAATCATGCACTCGTCCATTCATTCACTTGTCCGTTTATTTATTTGTTCACAAGTACATTCCGTCGCTCGTGTGTTCATTCATTTACTCATTCAGTCATTCATTCATTCTTTGATTCCAGCTGGAGCTTCAGGACACCTGATATTCAGCTCTGAGTGGAGAGAAACACACAGCAGAACAACTGAAGTACAAACAGACACAAGACAAGAAAAGACCAACACACTGGACACACACCTGGTGACAACACAAGTAAAAATCATGAAAAAACATGGATTGAGTCCACACACTTGTACGTGCGCACGCACACACACAATTATATGCCTAATAGATATGTTATATGCCTTATATGTAAAAATATTAACACACTTGTACGCACAATGGTATGTGCACTTATAAATATACCAGCACATGCTTACACTAGAACACACACTCAAATATATTCACACTCGTGCGCACACAATTGTATGTACACTCAAATACACACTCACTCACTCACTCACTCACTCACTCACGTTATCTGATGTAAATGAAGTATAGCCTCTCTCTCATAAGCGTCTGATTCAGGATTACCCAGCACAATAAAGTGCTGATGCTGAAACACCACTGCCCTTAAATATGACAGTACAGCATGTAAAACACTGTCTTCAAATCAGAGCAGTGTGCGTCTAAAAAATCACAGTACAGTTCTCTTGTCCAACTCTATTATAAGCTCAGACTGCATGTGAACTTCAACAACGTCCTTCACTGTCATTAAATATCCATCAAAGCGGCCTCAGGACAGGCTTATAATCAACAGGAAAAATCTATTCATTCATTCATTTTCTTTCGGCTTACTCTATTTATTCATCAAAGGTTGTTACAGCGGAATGAACCACCAACTATTCCAGCATATGTTTTACATAGCGGATGCCCTTCTAGCAACCCAGAACTGGGAAACACCCATACATTACAGCCAGTGTAGTTCATCAATTCTGAAATATGAAAATAGGATGGGACATATAGAAGTTCCTCCCCTTTGAAAACAAACAGCTAGTAGGCTTTCGTTTAAATTTCAGCTCTGCCAGTGAGAGTGGTTGAGCTCCAGCTCATCAAATTAAACGAAAATTAAAAGTGTCTTCCAGGGGCGGGGCATGTCAGACACTAGAGAGCATTGATTGGTCAGAAGATTTGATGACAAATTAAAGTATGAGATGACGTCAAAAATAAAATGATTAGGTGGAAATGACAAACTGCACGCTTTGGATTCTTATATCTTCTAAACTCGATGTCAGTCTTTTAGACCACACTAGTTTATACGTATCGCTAAAGCTAACACACTGATACTAATATCTAAAAACACTTAATTTGATTTCACCTGACCTTTAAAATGCACAGAACTGTTTGTGTTGACCATCGACATTTACGAATGCGATATTTTCCAAACATAATAAACTAATAAATAACAAAACTTTTTTCCTCCTCGAAAAGTTAATTTATACAAAACCCACCTAGATCAAATCAAATTAAAAGGCATCTTGAAGGGGGCGGAGCATGTGAGACACTAGAGAGCACTTGATTGGTCAGAAGACTTAAGACATCTAAGTATAAGGTGATGTCAAAAAATAATGGACTCAATTAGGGGGAGGCAAGATAATGCCAGCTTTGAATGTTTATATAGGGGGCGAGGCATGTCAGGCATGACGTCAAAAAACGAATTGACTCATTCAGACAAACTGCAAGCTTTGGATGTTTATATCTTATAAACGCGAACTATGTCAGTCTTTTAGAGCACGCTAGCTTATCGATATCCCTAAGGCTAACACACTGATACTAACATCTAAAAATATCTTAATTTGATTTCACCTGACCTTTAAAATGCACAGAACTGTTTGTGTCGCCCATCGACATTTACGAATGCGATATTTTCCTAACATAATAAACTAATAAATAACAAAACATTTTTCCCCTCTAAAAATTACTTTATTGACCTTTTTCTAAAATGCGGAAGTGCGCCTGTTTTCGCGATTGTCTTAGAACTTCCGTTTCAGTCGCCTATGGGAGAAATGACAAGGAATAATAAACGGCAAAAAACAGTCAAACTACTTGCTCTACAAACAAATGTTTGCATGACTATACAGACCAAGTAGAATAATATAACAAGGAAATATCAGTTTACAACATCAAACAGCGAAACGAACAGTTTTTAATGTCTAAAAATAAATGGAAGTGAATGAGACCGGAAGTCTCGAGCCAAAAAGACTCAAATGGCAGCGCCCGCTCGTCTGCGGAGAATAAGGTCAATACACAAACTCACCTAAATCAAATCAAATTAAAAGGCATCTTGTAGGGGGTGGAGCATGTGAGACACTAGAGAGCACTTGATTGGTCAGAAGGTTTGAGACATCTATTATGAAATGATGTCAAAAAATAATGGACTCAATTAGGGGGAGGCAAGATAATGCTAGCTTTGAATGTTTATATAGGGGGCGAGGCATGTCAGACATGACGTCAAAAAACGAATCGACTCATTCAGACAAACTGCAAGCTATGGTCGTTTATATCTTATAAACGCAAATTATTTCAGTATTTTAAAGCATGCTAGCTTATACATATCCTTAAGGCTAACACACTGATACTAACATCTAAACAAACTTCATTTAGATTTCACCAGACCTTTAAAACTATTCTTGCGGCCGATCGACATTTATGAATGCTATATTTTTCCCAAACAAATAAAGAACAAAACTACTTTTCTCCTCTAGAGGTTAATCCAATCGCAAACTCACCTTGATCAGGTCCAGCGGGTGCGTGCAGCAGGCGGCTCCGCACGACGCGATTCCACCGAAATACCAACGCGACATCCGTTTCTCCGCCATCTCTCCGGTTACCGTCAGCTTCTCTCTCTCTGCACGTGATAGGTTATGTCCGCTACACACAGAGTTCTGCCTTGGCTAAAGTGTGTATGATGTCGCTAATCATCCTGAGAACGCGCAGCGTGCGTGACCAGTGCGCGCGGACAAACAAGAGTCGCAAAGTTCACGCGCAGCCAATTGCTCTCACGGAAAGTGGAACTGCCTCCCGGTGCGCCAGATCCACCTCTTCAGTTACCGACACACACACAATACAATGCAGACGGAGAGAAACATCCATCCGCCTGTTCACCGCTCATTGACAACGAGCTCTGGGCTCTTAAAGAGACAGCAGCCGCTCAGAGACGGAAGCAGCACAGGACTGAAGCACTGTCTCTTTAAGAAGAAGCATTTCCTCATTCAACCAAGCCGTGACACAATACAGCCACAATAGCGTTGTGTAAAGAGTTTAGTGGGTCAATAAACGTGTGATCTGGGAGATTGATGTACCTGTCGGGCTGTTTGAAGGAGTATTTATCTCGATGTTATGTCTGTTTAGGTTTTGTAATAATTACCATAGGCTCTCCTTGGCTTCCAAGTCCTTGACTTTCACGTAGGCTAATACTGATAAGCACTGATACGATTAAAAAAGAAATACTAATATAATCTAACAGTATACAGTAGGCATAATATAACAGTAGTAGATATAAGAACAAATAAAACTAATTTAAATGTAATTAATATCTAATGTGTTACATAACAATTTATAAAGTAAATTAAACACATGTACAATATCTGTCTTTGCATAAAATAGGCTCATTGCTAAATTATAAAATGAAAAATAACTATTAATAAAAATTAAAACAATGATCCGTTAAATAACTGTTAGCTATATGCAGAGATGTATAGTAACGAAGTAGAACTACTTCACTACTGTACTTAAGTACTAAAAGGCAGTATCTGTACTTTACTGGAATATTATTTTTTTTCTCCTACTTCCACTTTTACTTAAGTACATATTTTACATGAGTTTAATACTTTTACTCCGATAGATTTTTTTATGTGCTGCATCGTTACTCGTTACTAGGGGTGTCAAAATGATTGATATCAGTTCAGTAATAGGTCATACCCGGTAATTACGTGATGACGTCATTTATCTCCTATGAGCGATGTCGCAATACTATGGCGAAGGACGGAGGCGCGAGGGCGAAGCGGCACAGCACTCCAGCCGCTAGTTTACTATTAGGGAGAAATGTTGTAAAACTTCACCTCTGTCTATCTCTCGCTCTCTCACTTTGGACATTTGACCTGCTGGCCAGTTTGTAAGGTAACTTTTTCTCTCTTCTTAGCTGTTAAAGCTGTGGATCCAGACATGAGCGTGCCAAGTTTTCTCCACTGTGTCTATTACCTGTGATAATCGCGTATTCTTCCCGCCATGGGTGAACAGCGCTTATATTTCAAAAGCCCTTTCTGTTGAGGACAATAACCAATCATAGCCGTGTAAGACCCGCCTGTCATCGCTCAAAAAGCAGGCGGGATAATATTGACATGAGTTTATTAGCTGTAAATGCTTGTGCTGTCTTCTGTGCATGAGTTTTGTTTGATACATCCAGGAAGAGTGTTTTCTTTGAGCAGGTCAAATTAAGGGCACAGTTCGTATATCTGACTGCTGTATTAAAGGACAAGATTTTATTACAAAAACCCCTTTAACTGTCACACCAAGACAAAAGCAATAGAATTTTTTTTGATTGCATTTCTTAACTCCTAATGTCGCTAGTTAACACAACCAGTGCATTTTTATTCAACACATCACATTATTTCTAAAATATCAGCCTCTACCAAATGGTTGAGATGTTGGTTTATGGTAAAAGTACCAGAATTAATAAATATACTACAGAAAATATTAACTGTAAGACCAATTTCATTAAAAACATAATAAAAATAAATAAAAATTATTACTAAATCATAGCCATAAGCCATAAAATATTTCAGATTTTCATTTAACACAGTAATATACACATTTTCCTGTTTTTTTTTTTTACAATAAAATCAAAATCAAGTGAATTTGTGAAGCAGGATTTAGTTTGCTTGTTTAGTTTAAAGCTTTTTATTTTAAAGCAATCAAACTTCAAAACTCCCAAAGTGTGAGTGTGTTTGTGTGTGTGTGAGTGAGAGTGAATAATGTGTAAGAGAAAACAACAGTGTGATTGAACGTGTGTGTGTGTGTAAGAGAGAGTGTAAAAACAATTGCAACCTATGTAATGTCCCCACAATTCACAAAAATGTGTGTGTGAGAGAGAGAGATAGAGAGAGAACTGTGTGTGTAAGAGTGTATGAATGTGTGAGAGTGGGGAGAGAGTGTACATTTAGGTGTGTGCAGGGCAGTGTGTGTGTGTGTGTGAGAGAGAGAATGTATATGTGAGTGAAGTTTTCTGGTTAAAGGGCCTGACGATGTGAGCTCTTGTACTATAGAAACTATTTACACAGAAAAACAGTATGATAAGCCATGTTTCTTTTCGTTCTGCTTAATCAAGTACCCCAAAAAGATATTTAAAATAAACAAAACAATTAGTGTATTTTGACTGCTTTCTTTAACAACGACATTACACAATACTTGTACTTTTACTTTCAGTACTTGAGTAGTAAATTTTGAAATAAACTACTTGTAATACTTAAGTACAAAAAATGTTGAATACTTTTGTACTTCCACTTAAGTATGGTGCTTAAAGAGCACTTCTACTTCTACTCAAGTCAATTTTTGATAAAGCACTTGTACTTTTACTTAAGTATGGGTCTCTGGTACTTTATACATCTCTGGCTATATGCTACAGTTAAACAAGGCTATTAGGTGTTTAAAATTGACACAATATAGACGTAATGGCAAGTGTAATGCTCTTTAGGTTTCTTAATTTGAACTATATCTACACTCTAAAAAATTCTATGATCAATTAGTCATGACAGCATATGTTTTTAGTACATTGTAACTTATTAAACTAAGTTAATCATGTTCTAACTTAATTTCATGTTCTAACTTAAGAGTTACGCAAGCTGTTTTAAGTTTAATGGACTCATAAGATTAATTTGATTCAACCTAAAAATATAAGGATTTTTTTACAGTGCTTTCGAGGTGAATGTTGAAACCATGCGCAAAATCACTTTAAGGTGAGATATCTATAAAGTAGTAAATAATTAGTAGTTTTTATTAATATTTAACTGATGGGACCTTTTTTTTGCTAGTGATTTATGTTGTCTGTGTGATCTGTGAATAAATGTTGTACAGAGAAAAGTCATTCTTAATAAAATTAAAGTGTCTTTAAGGGGGGTTTCAAAGTGTACATGACTTTTATGATTGAGTGAACATATATTTATTTTCTAATAGTGAAGATTTTAATGATGTATTTCTAAAAGAAGCTCTTGTGTTATGAGAAGGTAATGTTAAAGGTTCTTCAGTAGCTGTAAAGATTTTTCCTTTTTTTTTTTTCTTTTTTTAAAAACGTGGAACTTGAAGCCTTGAGTTTGACTGTCATCTTGTGGATATCTGCAGTACTTCAGTTACTGGGATTGAAACAATTATCCAAAGAACAGAATAGAATAGGATAGAACAGAATACAATACAACAAAACAGAAAATAATAGAATGGAATAGAACAGAATAGAACAAAATATAATACAATGGAAAATAGCAGAACAGAATACAAAAGAATAGATAAGAATAGAATGGAATAAGAAATAAATAGAACTGAAAAGAACAGAAGTAGCATACAGAGTAGCATACAACAAAACCAAACAATAGAATGGAAATGAGCAGAATACAAAAGAACAGAATAGAACACAACAGAACTGATCAGAAAAGCATAGAAATGGAACAGAACTAAATAAAATATAACAGAATAGAATAGAACAGAATTCAACAGAACAAAGAAGAAATAATAGAATGGGATAGAGTAGAATATAATACAACAGAACAGAATAAAACAGAACAGAATAAAACAGAAAATAATAGAATGGGATAGAGTAGAATAGAATACAACAGAACAGAAAGAAACAGAATAGAATGCAATAGAACAGAAAATAATAGAACAGAATAGAATACATACCAGAAAAAAATAGAATAGAATAAAATAGATCAGAATAAAATGGAGCGGAACAGAATAGAACACAACAGAACCGAACAGAGTACAATAGAACAGAAAAGAACAGAATAGAACACAACAGAACAGAACAGAACGGAACAGAAAAACATCTGCATGACATTTAGAACAGGGCTAATCCCATCTCCATCAATAATTCCCTCACTTAAAACACCAACAGTTTAGCCCTTTATAGGGTGAAGAACCAAATATGATAAGTCAATTTAATTACAATATATATACTTTTTTTAAAATCATAAACTCCTAAAGTCTTGTATAACACCCTTAGGTTTTACAATGAGTATTTCAATGTGCCCTAAGTCATTCAGATGGATTAAATTTCAATTTCTTTGGTCAGACCCTGTGATAGTTAAAGCCTGATCTCACGAGAAAACGTAAGTATTTTACGTTTTGCAAGTTTAGTGGCTAATTTGTACGAGTTCATCTGTACGAAAATGTACGATTTTAAAAAGGAGGCATGGCACATAACCCCACCCCTAAACCCAACCGTCATTGGATGATGAGCAAATCATACTAAATTGTACGAATTAGAATGTACGAATTTATACGAATTAGCCACTATATCAAAAAGTTACGAATTGCCGTGAGATTGCGTTGGATAGTTATTTTAGTGAGCTGTCTATTAGTAACAAAACAAAGTATTTTGACTTCTGTCATCTTTTGTTCATTCTGTAATATATTTTCAGCGTCTATTTTATTTTCATTGCAGTTATTTTATGTCTAATTCTGTAACTTAATGTTAAACACTTCTTTGAGACATTGTTTACAGCTTAAGAGTGTTGAATAAAAATTTGGTGGAGAAAAATGATTTTTGTGATGATATAAGAGCAGTTAAAACAGACTGCTCAATTTTGAGAACACTAAAGTAAAGGGATGTGAACACGACTGGGGGGTAAAGGAAAAACAGTTTAAGCCCAAAACCTGGTACTCTTTCTTTATAGTGGTTTAATGATATCTGTCAGACACTGATGTTTATGAATGCCTGCTTGTGAGGGAGTCTGCAGCACGATGACATCATCATAATCATCATCATCAGACTGACAGTGGACTCTCTGTTTATTGTCAATCCTGCATTCTACAATCCCGCCGACGCTTTTACACTACGCAATCCACAGAGTAAACATCTGCACATGCACACAGTCGGATGAGTGGCTTTATTAGACAGACAGATTATACAGCCATAAATAAATGACTAGAGATGCAAATGTTAATTATACTGAGCATTGAAAGAACAGATGAATGACTGAAATCAAGAAAACAACTGCAACTTAAACTGACATCTACTAAAGATGTAAAAGAAGCCATCAGAAATCAACAATACAGTTGAGGTCAGAATTATTAGCCCCCCTTTGAATTTTCTTTTCTTTTTAAAATATTTCACAAATAATGTTTAACAGAGCAAGGAAAATTTCACAGTAAGTCTGATAATATTTTTTCATCTAGAGAAAGTCTTATTTGTTTTATTTCGACTAGAATAAAAGCAGTTTTTAATTTTTTAAACACCATTTTACGGTCAAAATTATTAGCTCCTTTAAGCAATTTTTTTCCCCCCAAACCATCATTTGTAAATAATTCTGACTTCAACTGTATGTCTGTTTAATACATTTACACGAATAAATTCAGATTTCCTAATGTATTTGGATGGTCTAAACAAAAATTCCCTCATACATTTTTGACAAGTAAACGTAATTTCTTTTCAGCACACAAAAACAGACACTGAAACCATCAGACAAATATTTTTATTATTAGTAATAATAATAATAATAAACAACAAAAGTCATATTACACTTATCCTGTATATTGCCATTTGAAGTAGAGCCTTTTATTAGTGTATTTTAATGAAATTTTCATCAGGCTAACTTTTAACATTGTGTCCAGTGACTACAGATGTAACAATGTCTTTGGCTAATTCAGGTACATCAACAGGAATGCTTTATTAATGTGCAATGTCCCTGTTAACTAAACATATAACACACAAATATAATAAAAAAGTGTTTTTTATACATGAGAAGCTCCAAATAATACACAAAAAATAATTTAAAAAAGTCCTTCATAAGATTTGTATGCTATATTTAGTCATGCCATTGATGAACTCGCCTACATTTTTTTCATAATTAATGAAGAAAGTCCCTGCAGATCTTGAGTTGTGAAACATGAGCACAATAAAAGAACAAAAGCATGATAAAAGTCTCATAAACACCACTCACTCATGGACTGTTATTTAGAATTATGAAGTACAGTAGTTATTACAGAAAGCTCGTATTCGTATTGCTACAGATGACTTGTTCGTTTTATCATATCTCTTCATATAGTTCTTCATTTAAGTCTCTTGAATGGCAACGTAATAGTTCCAACCCAGGCTTCAATTTGATTATTTACCCCTATATATAATTTCGAAGAGCATCAAATACGTCCCAGGAGGTATGTTATTTTGCAGATTTTGTTTTTGCGAATCCACTAGACGCGGCTGTGTATGCTTTTTCAGATCTCAAATTTCTCTTGTGAGTGCCATCAGTAAATGCAGTAAAGAAAGCAAATGTTTCCTTTGCTTGCTGTTATTTTTGTTAATATGGTTTAATTATCATCCTCTACAATAATTCTGCTTTAATAGGATATTAACTCTGATATTAATCTGATGATCTGGGACCTTCAGCTACGGTGTATAGTTTAGATAAATGCGAATAATTTTTATAAATGTATATTGTTTTTGTTTTTTTTTACGAATATTTTTGTTGAATTAAACTTGATGTATACTGCTATATTTAGCTTGTTTTGACACATAAAAAAAAAGTGTGGCAAGGAAATAATTAGTTTGATGTGGTTTGATAAATCCTTAGAGTTGAGCCTTAAAAAGTCATGTGAAATACATGTAAAAAAATGTTAAGGATGCATGTGGACATAACATAATTTAAATCAAGTAATTTTAGCATGCCAAAGTAAGATATTCATACTAAATACATTCTCCCAACAACAAAATTGTGGCTAGTGAAAATGGCAAGTGGCTAGTAAGGTTGGAAATCTACTAGCCACAGTGGCTGGTGATCAAAACAGTTAATGTCAAGCCCTGTATATATATATATATATATATATATATATATATATATATACAGTTGAAGTCAGAATTATTAGCCCCCCTGAATTATGCCATGATGACAGTAAAAAGTATTTTACTAATTCTTTTTCAAGACGCTTCTATACAGCTTACAGTGACATTTAAAGGTTTAACTAGGTTAATTAGGTCAACTAGGCAGGTTAGGGCAATTAGGCAAGTTATTGTTTAATGATGGTTTGTTCTGTAGACTATCTAAAAAAAAAGATTAATGGGGCTAATAATTTTGTCCGTAAAATGTTGTTTAAAAAATTAAAAACTGCTTTTATTCTAGCCGAAATAAAACAAATAAGACTTTCTCCAGAAGAAAAAATATTATCAGACATACTGTGAAAATTTCCTCGCTCTGTTAAACATCATTTGGGAAATATAAAAATAAAATAAAATTCAAAGGGGGGCTAATAATTCTGACTTCAACTATATATATATATATATATATATATATATATATATATATATATATATATATATATATATATATATATATATATATATATATATATATATATATATATATATATATATATATATAAATAAGAGAGAAAGTGAAATAAATATGTATATATATATATTTATATATATATATATATATATATATTTTTTTATATATTTAAATATTTTTTTTTTTTTTTTTTTATATAAATATAAATATATAAAAAAAAAAAAAAAATATATATTTATATATATATAGAGATAGAGAGAAAGAAAAAAAAAAAAAGAGAGTGTGT